TCTGACCCTAAAACGATCGAAGCTACTGCGTGACGTGAAGACAAAATATGCAAACTCTATCAAAGTCACCTGGACGCAAGATGGAAAAATATGTGTACTCACAAACGCCTTGAAGAAAATTGTTATCTGCACACAGCTGGATATATCTCGATACCAAAAGGAGCTGAAAGCTTGAACTGGTTAATGACACTCACTTATGTAAATACTTGTAAAGCAATGTAAACCAAACCAACTTGAAGACGATACCGTCCAATGTTTTCGCCATTACTATTAAATTTATTTTTTAAATTACCCATTATTGTTTCTATACTATTCATTGCATTTTTTGTCTCTGGTAGTCTGGTAATTTATTTACTCAAAAATATTAAATGAATTGTTTTTTGTGTTCCAAACCCACAAATGAATTTGCAATAACCTGTATAAATTGTTCTAATACCGTCCACATACAGTGCTGTAATAATGATCGTAATTGAATTTGCTATAACTGTACAGCTATTTTATTTCCATTCAACAATATATTAGATGACAATGAATTTATTCATGAACTTAAATACTTCTTCTGCAATCATAAAGTTCATTTTGAACATTTACAATCTTTAATTTTAGACCCTTTCGATGTTTCAATGAATAATGCAGTTAACCCTAATCCTATGTATCCCGAAATTAATGATGAATGTAATTTTGATCTTATAGATACTTTTAATTCTAAATTTAATAATATTGCTTCTTCTATTAGTATTTTTCATATGAATTCTCGAAGTTTGGTTAATCATTACAATGAAATAACAGACCTCCTAAGCACGCTCGATCATAATTTCTCTGCTTTATGTTTCTCTGAAACCTTCTGTAACAATAATAAAACTGTTTTTTCTTTTTACGACATACCAGGTTATTCACTCCTGCATTCTTCTAGAATCAATAGAACGGGGGGTGGTGTTGCCATATATCTGGACCAGAATTTACAATACACAGTTCGTAATGATCTTTCTAATTTAGTCTCTACAACTGCTGAATCTATTTTTATTGAAATAAAGGCTGAACCTAAGAATATTATTTTAGGAACCGTCTATGGAGTACCGGACTTATCATTGCTTACTTTTAATTCTGATATATCATTTCTTCTAGATGTAATAAATAATGAAAATAAAAAAACCTATATTGCCGGAGACTTTAACATTGACTTACTTAAGTATAGTACACATAAGCAGTCCTCTGAGTTTCTTGGTAATATGTTTAATTATAATTTATATCCCCTAATACATAGACCTACTCGAATTACAACTAAAACTGCCACCCTTATCGATAATATATTTACTAACAACATGCAAACTAAAATATCTCCTGGCATTCTTTACTCTGACATATCTGATCACTTTCCTATCTATTCTATTGTTCATTCAAATTTATCTCATTCTCTATCTAATAATAATAATAATATAAAATACTCTATGTCTAGGAAAATAAATGATTATACAATTTCCTCTCTAAGTA